CCAAGGACTGAGATGCTGCCATGCTGTGCATCCTAAGGAGGTTGGCACTTAAATGGGACATGTCTCAGGATATGGTAATCTGTACCAGTGAAGGCTTTTCTGGAGCTGTGTTGCAGGTGGCAGTCTAGATGAGAGGATGGGGCACTAGACTCCAAAGGCTGCAGATCCAGGCTTTCCTTCTGCTCTACCCTAGTCAGTGGCCTGGGGTGAGTCCCTTTCCATTCTGTGCCTCAGTTTCCACTTCTCCCACTGTGTCTGTTCAGCAGCCTAAGGCAAGGGTAATCTCTTAATGTGTGGCACTGTTTGCAGGTGCTGGGACCCATTGAGGCCCCGCTGAGGTGTGAATACAGTCCCTCAGGCTCTCTTGCTGCTTCTCATACACAATGGGCATAATCCCAGATAATGCCATTCTCCATCCTCAAGTCCTAGTACCCCTTGGCTTGCTAATGCAGTAGATCTTAACGTTGACAGACAGCATTTTGTTACTATGGCAGGCGGCTCTCAGTCAGTTGCTAAATAACCTTCCCTGCTATTCTAAATGGAGCATCCTTTTCAATTTCTTGCCTCTGTTCCTTCTTTTTTTCCTTCTGTGGTGTTGCTCTGTGCTTAAACAGCTGTTGTACTCCACCCCAGAGGTGGTCACATCTCACTGATAACAACTTGACAGCAAAGCTGCAGCCATGTTTGCAAAGCATTTGGGGATGACAGAGCCACATCTCTGGGACATACTTGCATTTTAAACTGCATCTGGAGGTGGCAGAATTAACTTGAATCAGCCTCACTCAAAAGAGAACAACTGCACTGTGAAGTAACCCTTGAGCTGCTCGTCTGCCATGACTACACATGCTCGGGTGTAATTCCCAGAATGCCTGGTTGCACATCCCTTGCTACCTGGCACTGTACTAGTCTGAGCTGTGCTAGGCATTCCTCCCCAGCAGCTTAGGGGAGAGCTCCCCTGTCCTTCGTGGGCATGTTGAGCAATTGTGGAAAGGTGCCTCCACTGTACCAAGCAGCTGATGAGTTGTGTTGGTGTTAGCTCTGCAAGGCCCTGTAGAACAACTAGTTTGTGTTAAAAACACCACCAGGTCTGAGTGAGAAGGTTTAGTGTGTGGACTGGACTTGGGTCAAGGGCTGGTCTTTGGGATGCAACCCAAGTGCATTTGTCAGGGAGCACAGATCTCCATGGCCAGTTTCTTCCCTGTGGCAGCTATTTTTTTTCCTATAGCTACATGAATAAGAAACACTGGGATAGTGTCAGTGCTTGCAGGTAGACCTGGGGTTCCTGGACATGCTACAATGGCTCTTGGAGCTGCTGCTTCAGCTTCATTGCTCAGAGACAGGAATACACAGTGCCAATCCCCTGCCCTCCCCTGCCCCTTGCACCTACTGGCTGCTCTGCCCTGGGCTTCAGGAGACCCTTTCCCTTCCTTCCCACACCCCCCCGTAATACTGCTATGTGGTTCCTCTTGGAAATCCATGTGGTAAAGCACTGGGTGACTTTGCTAACCCTGTCAAAGAACTATTTGCTATGTCACTTCATGGAGGGGGCTGTATTTCAGTACATGGAGGTGTGATTGCTGGGTGGCTAGGGGACAGCAGATTATCCTTTCCCCAAGCACAGAGGGTGCTAACAGAAGTAGAGATTGGCTGAATACCTGTTCTGGATTAGACCATCTCTGCTCCCACCTCAGCTGAAGAAGGTGCATGACTGAGCACCATGGACTCTGGAAGTCCTGGCTGAACTCATCCTGTGCTGTGCCTGGAACTAGCTGGGAATTATGGGGGCCATAGCCATCCAGGACAGTCCAAATTTGGATCAACCTTCAGCCCACTTGCTGCCTTAGCTGTCTGTGGACCCCAGTAGGGCTGTCATGTGGCTCATAGCCATGGTAGTTCTGTTCTTCAGCCACCCAAACCAATCCATGGAGCTCTGGTGGAGGCAGCAGCCCCCTTAATTTCAAACTTTCTTGAAAGGGCTTTTATGGGATGGCAGACCAGGTGAGCATAGCCATGGGCTGGCTTCAGGGAACTGAAGGGTTTCTCTAGCACCCATTGCCATGGTAGCTGAAAGGTCTCTGGATGAAAACAAGGTAAAAATGGGAACCATGGACCTTGGGACGCTTCTGGCTCTTGGCCCACTTAAAAGGATGGTGGATGGATAAGGGGGCTGCTGGCAGAGAGGTAATTGCACTGGGGACTGTCCAAGGCAGTGGCAGAACTGACAATGCACCCCGTGTCTCCAGGCTCCAAGCCCAGGGTTCTGCCCTCCAGGGTGTGCTGCCTCCGTTGGTGCACAAGAATGCTAGGGAGAAGGCTTTCCAGGAGAAGCCTTTCCTGAGAGCCAGTATGACCAGTCCCTTGGCCCCAGGTACCTGCCTGAGTCCGTTTCTGGCAGGCAGGGTAAAACCTGGAGGCTGGGAGGTAGCAGGAGGCAAAATGGGGTCGGGGGGGAGGTGTCATCCAGCTGGCAGGGTGAACTTCCTATTAGCTGGAATCTTTCCAGATCAAGGCCAGAATCCCTTTCTAAAGGTTATGCTCTATCTCAGAGCTTGGGGGGAAGAGAGAGGGCAGGCCCTGATTGAGGCTTGCTGCTCCAGCCTCTACAGGATGTCAGACTGGGTGAAGTAATGGCCCCTCCAGCTTTGAAATGCAGGAATGTCCTGACTCTTCCCTCTGCCTATTAGAGCAGCGTGAAATTGGTTCAGAAGGAAGAATTACTATGTTTGGAATGGCTGGTCCACCTCCCCAGCACTGTCTGCTACAGCTGCCAGGAACTGTTTTGTTTTTTTGTTCTCACACCCCTTTGGGTCTCGTTTTGGCTCTGACAGAAGTGCTGAGCCCTCAGCCATAATTGCAAGCTGAGATTCTCACATGAATGCCAGAAGGTGCCTGGGACTCAAAGGAGTGTGCTAAATATTCTTCACCTGTCCTTTCCGGAGTGGAGCCCTTTTCCAGCAAAAATGTGCCCAGTGGGAGCATGTGATGCCCCTGCCCATTCAAGGATAGGTTCATAGGGGCTGGAAAGGGACCGGTTTGCCAGGGCTTGCTTGCTATCATCTTTTTCAGTGAAGCCCAGAAATTTTGAAGTTTGCAGCAAAATGCAGTCCTAGGCTGTTGAGTGGGAAGCACCTGTCCATCCCTATGAAAGGGACCATATATGTGAAGCTCTGCATGAGCCCTGTAGGTCTTTTCTATTTGTGGTAGTCCTGTAAGGCACACTCATTCCAGCTCCGCTGGAGCCATAAGTGTAGGGCAGCAAAGGCCCACAGGGTCAATTCTGGGCCTTATGGAGGGTTATGTCCAGTTTCCACAGGGGGGCTCTAGGGCTCTCTTCATGCATGGCAGTGCAGCTCTGTGTGGTATCACATTGATGTATGCAGCAGTGAGCTGCGACCTGTGCGAGCTCAGGTGTGTGTGGTGTTCCTGAGTGTTGAGGCCCTGGCCACCTTTGTGGCTCGGTAGCGTCTGACAAAATGGGTGGGGAGAGAGATGATCTCTTTTGAAGCTTTGTGGCAGCTAGCGTGATGGGGAGGCCCTGATTTCTGGCTGGTGTCTACAGGGCCCCATAACGTTCGGCATGATGTAGGTGCTGATCTAAAAACCCAGGCACCAAGCTGGAGGCTTCCGCTGCTGAAAATCATTTGCCAGATATTACAGCTGTAGGTGTGTGCAACCTGCCCAGAAAAGTCCAGGGTCTTCTTAGAAAGTTGCTAGGACCCAGGGTGGATTAAAAAAGCACTCACAGCCTGTCTTGCTCTGCTGTTTCCCATCCTGCCCTTGCTGCTTGGGCTCTTGTGTCTCTGAGGGGATACCTGAGCCCAGTGAGAGCACGGGGTAGCTTGCAAACCAAGGCCCCCTTAATTTGGAGCAGCTCATGTTCTCCATGACACACCTCTGCAGCCAGGGCTGGAAGATCCCTCTCCCTCTGCTGTGCTACCTGGCCCTCACAGAGCTGGCTGCATTTGAGGACTGTTGTGCACATGTCTGTAGCACAGAAAAGTGGGGATGGCTCTTTTGTGGACTTGAGTAAAGGCAGGAAAGGCTGAGGGTGCCTAGAGGAAGCCCAGCATCCAGGGCTGAGCTTATCAAGAGAATTCCCCCTGGGTGTGGCACGGCTCTTTTGTGTGGGTGCATGGGAGGGTGACAGAGCAGATCCAGGTACAGGGATGACGCAGCAGCGCTAAGCCTCTCCCTGCTGCCTGCAGGCTGCTCCTTCCCAGGCCGGTGGTGCCAGCTCACACTGCCTGGGCTGGAACAAGCTGAGCTGCCTTGGCCTGCAACCAGCATGTTTATCTGGGAGAAAAAGGGAAGCAAGGATTGGCTTTCAGCATGCATCTCCAAGCTCTGGGGTGAAAGGGAGTCCCCCTGGCTGGAAGTCCTGGAGGCAGGTCGCAGGAATGGTTCTGGGGAGCGGCAACTGGGGCAGGGATAAGGATCAGTGAGGCCATGCCCATGAGCTGGAGCAGCACAGACCTGCAGCCACATGCCTGCCTGCTCTATTCTGGAGGGTGTGTTCCTGGTTGTGTATGCTGCAAAAAATGTGGAACTCTGCTGGGGGGTGGCAACACTGCGAGGAAGCAAATTACCTGAGATCTGAAAACAGAGCATCCCCTTCTGGGGAGATTGGGGTGGGGGAATCCTGTTCTGTAGTAGCATTGTAGGCCTGATGCTCTGGTGATGGGTATAGGACATGGATGCTTAACTCTGGGTCTGTGAGCCAAATCCAGACCCCAGAGCCATGTCATCCAGCTTCCAGGGCTCTCCACAAATCCTATGGGGCTGGCATTTCTTAGCTCTCAAGTGGTAGCTCCTTCTGGGGGAAAGTGGGCTGGTTCCCATCTCTCTGACTTGGGGTGGGAGGTGGTGAAAGTGTGTGTATGAGTCAGGGGGGAAGGTGCATATGTGTCAGGACCCCTGTATCCTCAGCCATTGCTGGCTTTCCCTTGAGCAAAGGCTTTTCAGTGCCATACACCTCCCTGAGCTTGAGCCCCCACTGGCTCTGTAGCACAGGCCTCATGCTCAGCCCCCTGAAGCAGCTCTGCTCTGCTACAGGACTGAGCAAAGGCTCCTCTTTGTTGCCCATCAGTGCTGCTGAGGTGAAAGAGGTGCACTTGCTGCTGAAGAGACAACAGTTTTTTGAATGTAAGTATGTATTTGTGTTCCCAGGGGGATGACTTTGTGGTTAAGACCTATCTCTGCCACTTCCTGCCAAGTGGCCCTGGGTATGCCACCTATGCCAGAGTGTTCATGAGGGGTCACTGATTTGTGTGCCCAGCAGGAGACTAAGAGTGTCTCTCTTTTCCCAACATGCATGCCAGCTGCTACCCCAGGGAGCCATGAGGTCTCTGCATCACTGACAGCCCAGCCACAGCAAGTGAACTAGGGATGCCAGGGCAAGGCCCTGCTATGCTTCTACTTGCACCTCATGGGATCATCCCTCTCAGTTGCAGCTCCCACTTTGCTCACCCTGTTCTGAGCTGGGAGAGCATATGGTGTCCCATGAGCCTGAACTCTGATGCTGGCAGTGGGGAGTCTTTGGGGCTGTGTGCTTCCTAATCACAGTGCCTCTGTCTCTTCCTCAGTCGTCCAGTGCCCCTTCTGTGACAACATTGGCAGATATGACAGGATGCCTGTCCCTGCTTCTGCAGGGTTGCATGCCTTGGAGTACCTGGTGAACCTGATACCTCATGCCAGCCACGCCATGGAGGGAAAGGAAGAGAGGCTCCAGGGACCAACTTGGGATGGGTGTGCTCTGCGGGTCAGCCATCTGCACAACAGTAACAATAACGCATCTCCAAGGGGCTGGCTGGGCCAGAAGGGCTCCCACTCCCTCTCGCCCTATGGCTCCAAGTCCTCCACTGCTGGCCGCCGTGAGCTGAGCTACGTGGAGCGTGTGGTGCTGGAGATTGTGGAGTCAGAGCGCATGTATGTGCAGGACCTGCGCAGCATTGTGGAGGTGAGCACTCCCCAGTGCTAGGCAGGTTAGTGCCTTCCCCAGTTGGGACTCTGGGCTTTTCAATACCTCTGTACATCATATACTTTGGCCCAGCATGGCTTTGGGGGCGCCCCATTGTTCCTGACATCCACAGGGGCTGGTAAAGGGAGTGGAGTATCTAGCTTGACACAGATTACTACTATTCTGGGCTCCATTCTCCCATGCAGGGGATGCCCAGGGTCTCTGGTCTCCCAGCAGCTAATCTATAAGAAGAGTTAAGGAGGGAGAAAACTGCACTATGGCTGTTTGAGACTGTCCCCCATACTGCCTCAGGGGCTGGGATTTGGTTTAGTGCTGGGTGGTGTTTCTCACCCGGGCTTCTCTAGGGCAAGGGGAGTTCCCAGCATGTTATGTGAATCTGGGCTGATGTTGATTAGGATTAGGAGCTCTGCCTGAGTCCAGATGCCTAATACCTGCCCAGGGGTGGGAATGGTGCAGAACACAGCTTTGCCTGTGGGCAGTGGTGGGGACAGGAAGGCTTTGGCCTGGATGGGGGATGGTTCTGCTGCCAGTTGACTAGCCCAGCCCTGAGGGTGGAGCTCCCTGCTAGTCAGAAGCAGCTGTAATCCAGGAGGGCAAGGAGTCCCCTGGCACTGCCTGCAGTATGCCCTGAGTTCCTTTGGGAGGTGCTGGCCTATGCTACCTCTGGTCATGGTCATCCTACAGAGCTACCTGGGCAAGATCATTGATGTGCGGGAGGAACTGCTACAGCCAGACCAGGTCAGCGCACTCTTTGGGAACATCGAGGACATCTATGAGCTGAGCAGGTGAGCCAAGGCCCCTCCTCTTCCCCCTCTTCTAGAGAGAGAAATGCTGCTGCATTCCTGTGGTGCAGGAGAGCCAGCACTAAGCCAATTTCCTCCTTTTACTGCCATGGTGATTTGTCTGTGCCCGTGACTCCTGCCCTGCAGCCCTAAATATCTCAGCCCTGGCCTCTCCCCCCCAGCCCTACTAGGGCCCCCAGTCCTGATGCACAGCCCCCTAGAAACCCAACCCTGGGCTCTCCCCACAGTTCTGTGGGTGCTCATCAGTCCTGCCCTTGACACTGAAGCTGTCTCAGCTAAGAGCCTTTTGGCAGGAAGCCCTGAGGGCAAGGTGAAGGCCACTCTGTCTATAGAGGCTGTGTGTTGCTTGGGACAGGAACATGGCACAATGAAGGGCTGCTGAGGCTGGCACAGTGAGAGCCAGCTGCTGGGGTCTGGGGCAGGGGGCATCTGGCCACTGCATCTCTTGTGTCTCATAACCCTGGCTCTATTTTGATTCTCTGCTGGCTCTGGAAGGCCCTGCCCAGGTGGGTACCATGTCTGGATCCCGCATGCCCCACTGGCCAGTTGGTTCGTGTGTTTGGGGGTTTTCTTGCATGCCTGCAGCATGTGCCCAGCCCATGTACCTACCTGTCCTGAGCATGTATGTTCTTAGCGGGTTTTGTTCACTTTGTGGGGGCAGCACAGCCCAGCTACTGCCCCAGACAACCAATGCACTCTCCACTCAGTGAGCTGCTGCACGACCTAGAGAGCTGTGACAACAACCCTGTAGCTGTGGCCAGGTGCTTCGTAGACAGGGTAAGCGGGACATGGATGACTTCCCTGGGGGATGTCTTGGTAGCACATTGCACCATGGTGCTGCATGGGGGAGCTGAGAAGCTAAGGGTTGACACGGAAGCCAGTTGTCATGATGGGAGAGGGCCTCCCACCTCACATGGCTGAGGCAGTGAAGCCTTGACAGATGGCAAGGACTCCAGCTAGCAGTGGGGGTCATAGCACCAGGATGGGGTTGGCTGTAGAAATGCCAGGGGTGGCGGGGAAAGGGAGGAGAGGAGGGTGGATGGGGTGCCTCATGGTGCCAGGGTGGATGGGCTGGGGCACTGTGAATGGGTTGTAGGTGAGGGGGCTGAACCTCAGGAGGCAGTGCGGTGGGGAGCTCCCTTCCTTGGCTATACTCCCTCTCATTCTCCTTGCAGAGCCAGGATTTTGACATCTATACGCAGTACTGCAACAACTACCCTAAGTAAGTGTGGACATGGAGTGGGTACTCTCTACTGCCACAGGGTTGGACACTGGCTGGCTTCCTTATGGGGAAAACCTTGTCCCCTCCCTGGCCTGTAGCAGGTGCTTCCTGAGGGCTGGGGGCCTGGCAGCAAGAGCTTGAGTTGAGTTGGAGGTCATAGGTAACGTTGCCCTGCTGCCCATGCAGTCATGGATAGATTTGGGGCCTGCTGCCCCCAGGGTCTAATCTGAGATGGGAGGTCCTGTGTCATGGCTGTGGGAGAACCTGGGGGCACATCTGCGCTCCAGGATGGTGGAGGAAAGTACTTGTTCCCTGGCAGCCTAGGATGTCATATGTACCCGTCATCACTGGATGCCACTTGGCTTCTGCTGAGCCTTGCTTGTGCCCTGTGTTCCTCACCATGGCACCTAGGCATCCCCCCTCATCCCAGTAACAATCCTTGCAGCTCAGTGGCGGCACTGACTGAATGCATGCAGAACAAGCAACAGGTCAGGTTCTTCCGCGAGTGCCAGGAGCAGATGCAGCATGCCTTGCCCTTGGGAGCCTACTTGCTCAAACCTGTCCAGAGGATTCTTGCCTACTCCCACCCCATTGCCTTCTGTCAACAGTTTCTTGGTATTGGTGCCCCATCCACCACCACCACCCTGTCTACTACCCCCACCCCAGCTCTTGCCCACACCTACCTGGTATCTTCCCTGTGCTGCTGCCTCCTGGCCCCACCCTTCTCATGTCTAAGGCAGCCCCTCCATCCATCTAGAAAAGGGCAAATATAGTACCCATCTTTAAGGCGAAGAGGGAGGATCTAAGGGACTACCAGCCAGTCAGCCTGACCTCTATAGTTGGAAAGTTCTCAGAGCAGGCTCTCAAGGAATCTCCATTATAAAGCATCTAGAGGAGAACAAGGTGAGATCAGTAACAGTCGGCATGAATTCACCAAGAACAAGTCATACCTCACTAACCTGAATTCCTTCTGCGGTAGTGTCAGGCTCTGTGGATGAGGGGAGAGCAGTGGGCATGGTATATCTTGCTTTTAGCAAGACTTTTGACACAGTATCCCATGACATTCCCATCAACAAGCTAAGGAAATATAGACCAGGGCTCAGAGGGTAGTAATCAATAGCTTGTTTGATTACTAGATGTTGGCAGCTGATATCAAGTGGGGTCAGTCCTGAGACCGGTTTTGTTCAATATCTTCATCAACAACCTGGAAGATGGGATGGAGTGCACCCTCAGCAAGTTTGCAAATGCTACCAAGTGTGGGGGAGTAGTAGATACACTGGAAGGTAATGGATAGGATTCAGAGAGACAAATTGGCAAATTGGACGATTGGGCCAAAAGAAATGTTATGAGGTTCAATAAGGAGAAATGCAAAGTCCTGCACTTAGGACAGAACAATCCCATGCACCAGTGCAGGCTGGGGACTGAGTGGCTAAGCAGCAGCTCTGCAGAAAAGGACCTGGGGATTACAGTGAACAATAAGCTTGAATATGAGCCAGCAGTGTGCCCTTGATGCAAAGAGGGCTAATGGCATACTGAGCTGCATTAGTAGGTGTGATGCCAGCAGGTCAAGGGAAGTGATTATTCCCCTCTATTCAGCACTGGTGAGGTCACATCGGGAGTACTGTGTCCAGTTTTGGGCCCCCCACTACAAATTGGTGGGCCAATTTGTGGGCAAATTGGAGAGAGTCCAATGTAGGATGACAAAAATGGTTGGGGGGCTGGGGCGCACATGAGGAAAGGCTGAGGGAACTGATCTTATTTAGTCTGGAGAAGAGAAGACTAAGGGAGGATTTAATAGCAGCCTTCAACTACCAGAAGTGTGGTTCTAAAGAGGATGGAATTAGACTGTTCTCAGTGGTGGCGGATGACAGAACAAGGAGCAATGGTCTCAAGTTGCAGCAAGGGAAGTTTAGGTTAGATATTAGGAAAAACTTTCTCACTAGGAAGGTAAGAAAACAGTGGAACAGGTTACTCAGAGAGGTTGTGGAATCTCCATTCTTGAAGGTTTTTAAGACCCGGCTAGACAAAACCTTGGCTGGAATTATATGGTTGGGGCTTATCCTGCTTTGAGGACAAGATGGTTGGACTAGATGACCTCCTGAGATCGCTTCTAACCCTAATTTTCTACGATTGTGTAAACTGAATATGAGCCAACAGTGTCCTCTTGTTGTAAAAAAGCCAACAGCACTCTGGGTTGTATTAACAGGAGTGTCACTTTACAGATCAAGGGAAGTGATTCTTATGCTCTTTTCAGCACTGGTGAGGCCTCATCCTGGAGTACTGTGTCCAGGGACACATACTTCAAGAAGGATGTGGACAGTTTGGAAAGAGTCCAGCACAGGAGAGCAAAAATGAGCAGGGGCCTGGGAGACCAGACATATGAGAAAAAGCAGAATAAACTAGGATTATTTAGAAGAGAAGACTGAGGGAGGATTTGATAACAGTCTTCAAATACCTGTAAGGTTATTATAGAGATGATGGGCTTTTCCCTGTACCTGTAGGGGACAGGACTAGGAACAATGGCCTCAAGGTGTAGCAGAGGGAAATTTAGGTTGGAGATTAGGAGGAACTTTCTGATCATGAGAGTGGTCAGGCATTGGAACAGGCTACCTAGAGAAGTTGTGGAATCTCCATGCTTAGAAACTTTCAAAAGAGACTTGGCTGGATGGTTTAGTCAGGAACGATCCTGTCTTGAATAAGGGGCTGGAGTAGATGACTTTGTGAGGTCCCTTCCAGCCCTCCTTTCTTATGATCGCAGGATTGACAAGGATGCTACACCCCATTTGAAGCTTGCGCTTTGAGCATCCCCATTACACACTCCCCCGCTGCCCCAAGCCAAGCAATCTCCCCTGGCCAAGTCGGGGCAGGCCATGAGTATCTGTTAGAGAGGAAGGCTGGGGAGCAGGGATCTCAGGGCTCAGGTGGGAGGGTATGAGTGGGTCAGGTGCTGCGGGAGTAGGCCTGGGTGTGGAGCTAGCTGAGTAGGGGGCTGGGAGCCGCTGGGAAGCTGAGGGGCTGGGTGTGCCCTCATGTTCCATTGTGCCCTCAGGAGATTGCAAAGCACTTTGACTTGGCAGAGTCGGGCTACGAGGTGGTGGAGGAGGCTATTGACACCATGACCTGCGTGGCCTGGTACATCAACGACATGAAACGCAAGCATGAACACGCCGTGCGCCTGCAGGTTACTGAGAGCAGGGGAAGGTGTGGGGAGCTATGAAGGCACATGGGGATTTGGAATACAGAGGCTCCTAATCCTGTGGGGCGGGGGGAATGAGGCAGAAGGACAGTAGTGCAGAGATCAGCAACATATGGTCCACATGGCCCACTAAGCTGTCAGATCTGGGTGGCAGCTCAGCACGGGGAGTGGTTGGAGCTGGGTGGTAGTTTGGTGTCGGGAATGTTATAACCAATTCAGTGGCAGGTCAGTGGCACTGCAGTGGGCAGGGGGATGGGGGGAAAAGCGGCGGTAGCAGCAGGGGCTGGGTCAGCAGTATTGCCCTACCTTTGGCCCTAGCCCTGTTCATGCAGCCTACCACTCCCAAAAGGTGGCTTAACTCTTCCACTAGGGGATAGGGAGGAGGTATGTGGCAGTGGCTTTTGTGTCAGGGCTGGCAGCAAGGGTCCCTGCAGCACATTAGACTGGTTTCTGACCTAGTGTTCCCCCTAGCACTATGGCTGGGGTGAACTGAGCAACCAGACCAAGGTGTTCATACCCACCCTTGCTCTTGTCTGGTCAGGAGATCCAGTCTCTGCTGCTGAACTGGAAGGGGCCAGACCTGACCACGTATGGGGAGCTGGTGCTGGAGGGCACCTTCCGCGTTCAGCGGGTCCGCAACGAGCGTACCTTCTTCCTTTTTGACAAGACCCTGCTCATCACCAAGAAGCGTGGGGACCACTTCATCTACAAGAGCCACATCCCGGTACCTTGCTGCAGCCACAAGCAGCCTCACACTCCCTTGTGGCGCTTGGTGGATGGGAGAGGGGGCCCTGAAACCCCCCACCAAGTGTCAGGGAGTGAAGGCATATGTCTGGGGACTTCTCTTGCCAGGCTGTCCTGTTGCTCACTTGTGGGTTAGGGCCTAGCTACAGGAGTCTCTGCCCACTGGCTCCCTACCCACTGTACTGCCTACCCCTTCTCCCTATGCCCCTTTACCTCCCATCAGAGCAGGCTGTCTCTGGGTACAGGAAAAGCCTCACTTGTAGTTTGGCCACCTGGTGACAATACCTGCTAGCCACTGCAGTGCCTACTTAGCCTGGGGCTGAAATCCCAGGCCCAAACAGGGCAGTTGTTCCCTAGCATCAGACTTGTTCCTTGGGCAGCTCTTGATCTCTCTTCCCCCCATGCTTCATCTGCTCTCAGCCATCTCTTGACACAGCCCATCTACTCTAGGCTCTGGCTGCTCCCTGTTACCTCTCTGGCTGTCTTGCCCAGTGGTGTGCCAATGAATGGCTGCCCGGGTGGTGCAGCCTTGGGGCTGTGCCTGTGCTAGCCTCCAGGGAGAAGGCTCTGCTTCCTGATGCTGATACCTGTCTCCCACACCCCAGTGTTCCTCCTTGATGCTGATTGAGAGCACCCGAGACTCGCTGTGTTTCAGTGTCACTCACTATAAGCACAGCAAGCAGCAGTACAGCCTTCAGGTACGTGAGGGGCTGGCTGGGCAGGGCTAGGGCGGTCACAGGGCCTGGGCAGGTCAAAGTTTAGAGAGGTGCAAGGGCCAGACAGGATGTTATTGGAGGTGCATAACAGCAGGTCAGGCCTGGGGTGAAGCTGGATGGGGCAAGCTGGGGTGAGAGGGGGGCTCAGGGGCTGGGCTAGAGGTGGTCAGAAAAGGTAGGCTGGGTTCAGAGCAGGGAAAGGGAAGCTGAAGGTGTTTGTAATCCATAATGTCTCTGCCTCAGGCCAGGAGCGTGGAGGAGAAGCGGGTGTGGACCCACCACATCAAGAGGCTCATCCTGGAGAATCATCATGCCATAATTCCCCAGAAGGTGAGGAGGACTGGCACCCCCAGCCAGCCTGGCCCCCCCAAACTACAGAATTGGCCTGATGCACCACCCTCAGTGTGCCAGGCTGGGGAACACAGTGCTTTATGTGGCCAGAGATGTGTGCCAGGGATGAGGCCCAGGCCCAGGGATTTCTGAAAGGGGGATGCAGCACCTCTGCAAGGTCCCAATGCTCTGGCATTGGCATGTTGTTCCATGCTTCACTAACCAAGAGGTCTTCTTCCTTCCTAGGCCAAGGAAGCCATCTTGGAAATGGACTCTTACTGTAAGTGCTGGCTGGCTGTGCACCTTTCTGTTTGTCCACCACTAAGGCTCTGGGGTTTTAATCCTCACTCCTGAAAAGCACCCTCTGGTCTTGAGAGTGAGAGCTGGGGCATGTGGTGTCCTGGCTCTCCATCCTTCCCTGCCGATATGCAAGAAGGGCTCACTGTAGGGTCTGATGCCTGGCCCATTGAAACTTTCAACAGCCATCTCTGAGCAGAGAGGTTGGCTCTGCACACATAGAGCAGTTGTGACCTCTCTGCATGGGGCACCTACAGAGAGAGGGCCACAATGGCTAAATTATGTGTGCTGGAGCACATCTGGGCCCACCAGGTTGCCTGAAGGAACTGGGACTGACTTTAGCTGGGCCTCATGCATGTGCTTCCTCTCTGCCCCTTCAGACCCACCTCGCTACAGGTGCAGCCCAGAGGGACTGAAGAAAACCAGGTCAAACCAGCCCATGGATGAGGTACCAGTGCACATGCGGCACCTGGCAGGTCGTCGCCAGTCAGGTAAGAGAAGAGGGGTGGTGGGACAGGTGCAGCTGGTCATAGGGTTGGTGTGCCCATTCCCCCATCCATCTATGGAGTCCCCACAAGCCACCAACAGTGTGAAGTGCTTATTGACTCTCACCCATGTGGCTGGCTGAACTGTGCTGGCCCAGTAAATCACTGGTGTATGCAGAACTACATCTGGTAGCTGCAGGGGCAGTTCCAAAAGTTGGCTGTCCTTCAGTTCAGCCATGTGGGTGGGGTTGGAGCCTGCAGCAGGGGTTCCTCACTGTCTCTGACCTTGGGAGATTGGTTCCTGTCTGTCCTGCAAGGAAAAAGCAGGTCAGTTTGGTGTCCCTCTCCTAGGCACCTGAGTTTCTCCAAGCAGCTCCAAGGTCCTGGCAGGGGAGCAGTAGTGTCCATGGTTTGGAGGAATCAGTTCAGATGCACCCTCGTGGGTCACGGCCTGGGAAAGTTCCCACTGGACTCCTCCACTCCCTAAGTGCCAGCCCTCTGAGCCCCATGGCTATGTATCTGACACACATACTCTTCAGCAGTTGATGTAGAAGGGTGCTGTGTCTGTGTGGCACGTTGGGTGGGGGCACTGTAAGAGTGAGCACAGCAGCCTGCAGTGAAAGCAGAGCAGGCAAAGGAGTGTGTCTAGTTGATCTGTGCCCATAGGACCAAGATGGTGGCAGAAGCTAGAGCTTGGGCTCCAGACAAGTCACTCTAATCCCAGGTTGACTAGGAGGCAAGAGAACTTGACTTCTTCCTGTGACATAGCAGTCCAGATGGAGGATGTGCTATGAGATATCTGGGAGGCTATGACTGATGATTAATACCACAGGGGGCACCATGTGGCAAATCATGACTGGGCTTGCCTTGAATTCCCCTAGCACAGTGGTTCTCAAACTTTTTTTTTCGCAGACCACTTGAAAATTGCTGAGGGTCTTGGCGGACCACTTAATAAACTTTTTTTTGTTCTACAAATCAAAGCACACAACTCATATTTTAATATCAGTAGTCTTACCTTACAAGTACAGATATTCTCAATTGTTTCACAACCTTTCTGCAGACCACCTGAATGGAGCTTTGGTCTGCGGAGCACAGTTCGGGAATCTCTGCCCTAGCAGATTCTAGATGCAGGCCATGCCTGTCTCAGAGCCTGCTTGCTTCCTGCAACACATTTCTGTGGGCAGCAGTTCCCCCCACCTCCTTTTGGCTGAACAGAGCCAGCCCCTGGTCTGGAATGTTGTGGGCCTCCATTGCTTTCTCTGGAATGCTGCAAGAGCAAATGGCAGAGGGGTGGAGCTGGGAGGCTGGGACCAGCAGAAAAGGGCCTGGGGGGCTTTTCTGGAGCCAGTGGAGGCACAGGGCAAGTGCAGTTTGGCCCATCATGTGCCTGCATTACAAGACAGTCTTTGACTATGCAGTCACATGCTGCCCTACTCAGTGCATAGAATGTTTAACCTGAAGGGATGTTCACTAGGCCCATCCCGTACTGCTCAGCTTATTTTGTATAGCCTCTAACATACACCGCACATTGTCCATCCTTGCTGTATTGAAGTGCTGCACACATTCAGTAGTTCTGTGATGTATAGCCTCTGCCTCTCTTACCTCCTACCATTCATCCCCGGCTCCTAAGTTTCCTGCTGTGCTTCTTGCTGGCACATCTGAGTGCTTCCCAGCCCATCAGGAATTAATTTTTCCCACTTCACTGCTTGAGGTCATGCTATCCCATTTCACCAGCAAGGAGCTATGGTGCAAAGAGATTGTGGTCAAATGTGCCCACTGACTTTGGATGCTCAGTCTATACTGTCCAGTGCTTGATCATTCAAAGCACTCAGCATTATGTACGTTAACAGCCCAGCTCCCATTGGGGTCAGTTGCAGGTAGGGGTGCTCAGCCCTTCTGCAGCTCAGACCTCAAGGGGTAAAATGAGGAGTGCACAGTTTTCAATCACATGGGGAAAATCTGGATTAAGTGATTTGCCCAGCATCATACAGGAGCTCTGTGGCAGAGGCAGGAATAAAATCCAGTGCTCCAGGCTGAGGTTCAACTATGTTAACTGTGACACTGTCCTTTCTCTCCCTGTCACTTCTTGCTTCATTTGCTTCAGGTAGGGCTGTCCAACTTCTAAGGCTGGGGTGGGGCAGGAAGTGGAAGCTGGGGGAGGGAGAAAGAGCACAGAAACCCCAGCTGAAAGCTGTAGTGATGTGGATAGTAACAGCTGGATGGAAGCCTGGAGGCTTCAGATTAATCCCTTGTGCCCTTCCCCCTTCCATCCTTTGATCCCCATCTATCCTGGGCAGGGATCAGTGTGTGATCATGTCATCAAAGACTATGTTGTAATGCAGATGCCCTAAGGAGTGCAGTTTGCTGCACAGGCAACTTTCATCCAGATGTTTCTGTACTTGACTTTGCCTCCTTAAAATATGTTAACCTACATTTTATGGTATCATTTCTTTTTGGTTTTCAAAGAAAATTGACAGGTCATAAAGTCCATTACTGCTCACATAAGTCATCAGCAAGTCAGGCTCCTCTCACTTCACCTCACAGACTTGTGTTGTTTGAACTGAAAGAATAGCAGTGGAAGGCTATTATCTTGTATATGCAACTTGCTGAAGAGGGAAATGTGGGCACATGCTTTGTCAGAGGGGGTTCATAGCCAGAAGATTGTAGGCTAGAAATAAGGTGCACATTTTGGCAGAAAAGGGAATGAACCCCCCCCAGCAGGGCCCCAGCCAACCCCTCTGACCAGAATGTGCTCAGCCTGCTGCGTACCCAGGCAAAGTGAAGTCCAAGGCTCTGTCACAGCACTTTTTGGGGCCAGGTGAATGACCGCACGTCCAGTTGAAAGACCTGCCCAGCTCTGCTTGTCATTGATCAATTTTGGGTGCCCTTCAGTCCTGTGCTGGGGGCACTGGGGCCCATAGGGAATAACTATTCCCCACTCCATTTACAGGCCCTTCCTGAATCAAAGCTAGCCATTTACTCCCTTTCCCCACTTCATGAACTTCTATTAACTGTGGGTCTTATTTAGTCCCCTGTCCCAGGAGCACCAAGCAAATTCTCCTGCCTTTCCTTGGCATGGGATGCCAGGGAAGGGTCCCCAATTTCTCTCCATCCTTGCATACCCCTACAAACTTTTGCCCCTGACCTGTGGCACCATTATAGAGTCCCAGCCCTGCCTCCCCTCTCCACACTAGCATGAGCCTCATTAGGTTCTGGGTTTTCTGAAGCCCTGGGGTCCTAGGTGCTGAACACTGCATGGAGTCTGGTGCCAGTCCCATGGCTGCCAAGACAGAAAGACAGGTTTGGGGCCTGGTTGCAAGAGGATCTCAGGATGTGGTCAGCAGCCCTGAAACATGGTGAGGCAAGCCATACTCCATCTTCTGTTGCCAGTGCCATGCAAACAGGGTGTGCGTAATCACTGCACCATGGGGAGGCCAAATCATATGCCAGGCTCTAATAGATCTCTGTCCTATCCTTAGAACCTTTCCACTACTGCTCCCGTGCTGAGAAGCTCCCCCAGTACAACGGACCGCAGGGCTGCATGGTGTCCGGGTGCACTGGCCGCAGGAAGTCTGGTGCGAGCAGGGGCCCAGGGCATCATTGGGTGTGGATGTCAGGAGTACTGCATGCAGTGTCTGGGGCTTGGTGTTGATCATGGGGGTGAAGCTGATCCACTGCTGCACAGTGGGGAATGGTCTGGCTAACACACATCCCCAGGCTGAGCTGACCTGTGGATACAGCTGTTAGTTTGTTACCAGGAGCAGAAGGCTGATGCTGGGGGCATGTTCTGTGGCTCAGTGCCGTTTGATGCTGCTTCAAGGGCTCTGTTCTGGTGTCTGTGACTGGCGGTGTGCTGGGGAGAAAGCTGGTTTCCTGAGCTTTGTAGGGTGAAGGTGGGGTCCTCAGCCAGGGGTCCTGGGGATTGGATCACAGCAGCCCAGTTGATAACAGTTTTCTTCTTCATACAGAGCCATCCAAACAGATTCTCAAGCAACTCGGTGCTGAAGGTAAGTAAGACCCCTGCCCCACATACTGGGAGGACAGAGGCAAATGGAAGAGTTAGGGGGCTGCCGCTGGGGCTCTGCAGTGTGGCCATCATAGTTTAAGACACAGCTGAGCCAAGCATGTGCTGCTGGCTCCATTGGCCTTTTGTGCAGGCCAATGGAGCCAGCAGCACAGCATAAGGGTAGGTGGGGGGAGATGGGTAAAGATGCCCATCTCCCCCTACCTACCCTTGGGCCTGTGGCATCATTGCTAAGCTGCACCTGTCATGTTGGCCAGCCCACCTTTGTGCAGTCATAGGAATCATAGAAAAATAGGGCTGGAAGAGACCTCAGGAGGTCATCTTCAAAACCATGCTGAGGGCAGGATCATCCCAGACTGAACCATCCTAGACCTGTGTTTGTCTAGCCTGTTCTGAAAACTTCACAAGCAACCCTATTGCATAACTATTCAGCACAGTGCCTCAAAACACCAAGAGCACCTTAGCTAGCCACAGTTAAAGCAGGGGGTGAGGGCACTGTCAGTGCCACAGTGGAGTGGGACTCAGCCCCTGGTTCCAAGGCTTCAGCCTCTGAGGCCTGGCTTGAGCACAGGCAACATGCTTAGCACTGGGGGATATGGGGCATGCTGAGTGCTTCGAGGTCAAGCCACTTGCCTGCCCTGCCCCCTCAGTGGAACAAAAAGGATCAGATCTATCTGAGGTGCCTCTGGTGCTTTGGGGATGTGCTGGTTCCTTGGGATGACACAGCAGCTACAGCTCTGCTTTGCTGGGTTGGGGAATCTCTGTTGGCCATGGAGCCATGGGAATCCCCACAGGTTGGGTGTCCCTTCCTCTCAGTCCCTGAGAGCATCTGGTTCATGCTTCAGTGATCTTCAGCTAGGCTGATTTGCTGGCTGGTGCCAGACGGTTGTGACCTAGGCTAGGCCAGAGAATCTAGCCAGCCAAAGGGTGACTTCCGCACCACTCCCCACACCAGAGGCCTGTGGAGAAAGGGTACTCTCCTTTTCCTGGACTGCCACAGCTCAGGTTATGGGCTCTGGTCTTAGGGTTCCCATAGCCCTCAGGGAGGCCATAGCCAGTGCTCTTCCCCATCCTCCCCTGCTGTGAAACGGGCAGAAAGTGGGGGTGCTGCTGCAATGGTGAAGAGGTAGCATCTGCTCGTAGCATCCTCAGCTCTCAGCAGAGCTGTCCTAGGGTCCAAGGGGAAGTGCTGCCTCCTGCATGTTTTCATCTTAGCACAGTCACCCTTCGGGGCCACACACTGAGCAACTAGCTTAGATGACCCCTCCCATCTCCCCCTTCCTGCCAAGGACACCCTCAATCTCTTCCAGTCTTAGAGACTGCGCACCCTTGACCTACCCAGAAAACTCCCTTTCCCCTCTCTGGTTTGGAGCCTTTGAAGGTTATTGACTCCTGGAGGCTGGCACAAATCTGACATGATCCATACAGCAGATGATAGCAATGTTTATGCACCCCCATCCTTGCTTCCCTACCTACACATGCCATGAGCTTGTCTGACCCCAGTAATCCATTTCCACTCCCAGGCAGGGGCCATTGCCCACCCAATATGTTGTCCCCCTCCACAGGGGCTCCTGCTGACATCCATAGGGAGCAAGGTGTTCCAGGAGCCAGGCGACTGCAGGGCTGGCAGCCCTTCCTTGGTAACAATTGAGGGGGCAGCGGACAAGAAGGCAGTGGGAAAGGGCTCTTTGGAGGAGGGGATGGGGCTTGCCTCCTTTGTCCTGGAACTCATTGTGGTGGGTATCTTTCGTGCCCAGCAATCCTTTTGCTAATGGCTTGTCTCCTCTCTTCCATGTGCTGGGGATGCACAGAAGGACTGAAGGTGAGATCCAAGAGTAGACAGGGACCTGTGGGAGGGCATGGAGGTCTCTATGGTGCCAGTCTGAAGGGGCCCCTCTCCCTCTAGGTGGCACTGGAACAGGCATACCTCATTGCAAGGCTCCTTCCTTGAAACCTTGGCCTATGAGCCTGTGACACTCCCAGCCCCAATGCCCTCAAATGCCATGCTCCCATCACATGCATGCCATCTGTCCTTGTGCACATGCACACACATGCTTGTGCTCTGGCCCTGCTTTGTGTCCCAGCTGTCCCCTACCTGTTGTAGATGTATGGAGTCAACACAGGGTGTTGGGGAGTGGGAGCCACTGGGCTGGGACCCCAAACACAGCTACTAACCTCGCTCTGCCAGGCACTCTGGCAACCCACAGATGAGGTGGAGCTAAGGGCTTGTTTGTACTTCAAACAGCATACAGACAGTGATGGAGACTTCCTGGACACTGGGGAGCCCTTGCAGCCCCCCAGCAGCGTACAGCAACAGGCTGAGCCTGAGGGGGATGCAGAGGAGACAGAGGAAGAGGCCTCTGGGAAGGAGGAGGAGCAGGCTGTTGGGAAGAACTCCCTGGAGGAGCTGCCAGGGAGTGACAGCAGCGAGATGGAAGTGGGGCCTGAGGAGGAGGAGGGCCCAGTGGGAGAGGAGCAGGTAGTGGACTTGGCCAGCTGCCTCCTGGCAGCACTGCACTGCTGGCATTCTCAGGCCAACACTTTGCTTTTCTCTTTTGGAGTGTCTCTCTTCAGCCTCTCTCTGCATGCTGCCCTGATGCATGGCTTGGGATTGCCATCCTGTTGCCACTCTCTAACCTCCCTCCCTCCCTCCCCAGCATTCACCAGGCCCAGACCACTCTCCTGTGCTTAGGGGTGAAGACCCAACCTTGGTCCTGGCTTTGGAGCAAGCTGGTCACCACAGCTGTAGGGCCGTTGGCTTTTGGAGCAAAGCTTGTGCCCCTCTCTGCTCCTAGCCCTTCCCTGCCTGCTGTAGCCAAGGTGGAGTGGCTGCATAATAACCAGTGTGCTTTGCATTTTCCTCCCAGCCTAACCTGATTCCTGGGTTGGGGCTGAAGGGATTAACTGGATGATGTAGGGTATGAACTCAAGGGGATGCCCCTGTCCACAGGACTGTCTGTCCTGATGCGAGGCTTATCTGGTTCCCTCAGAGCTCTGGCCCTGTGTGGAGAAAAAACCCAGCCCCTCCAAAAAGACAGTGGTCTGCTGGAGGCTCAGGCTGCAGAGCCTCTGGAGCCTGGACATGTGGAGCAGTTGGCAGCTGCAGATGCTGACCTAGAGAGGCCATAGGGGCTGCCTGGGGGCTCTGCTGTCCTGGTCTCTTGGGTTCAGGGCCTGGCACCTTTGTGCTGGGTGAGTCATACCCATGCTTGGGCACACCCATCTGGCCAGCTGTGTGAAGCCTTCCCTCTGTTTTGGCTCAGGGCAAGGGACACTGTATGCCAGCAGGACCCAAGGGTTGCAAGAGGACTGCCAGCCAGTCTCCCAGGAGCTGTGAGAAGCACCACAGCATGGAGAAGGTATTGGATGACCCAGAGGTGAGTGAGCAAAGCCTAGTGGGCCTTGTTTTTGCACCTGCCCTCAGGGCAGAAAGGGATCCCTTTAGGCAATGGCTAGACCTTGTGCTAGGAGGCTGCATCAGTTCTCCTGTGGCAGTGTGTCCTGTGTTGCACTTCCCTCTGCCCCCTGGCTGCACTGTTCCTCACAGGCACAGAGGGGGTGCTGTTGGCACTCCCAGTCCTCAGCAGGGAAAAGGTCCCTGTGGCCTGTGCACATAAACAAAATAGGCTTTATCAGGACCACTGGCAGTCAAGTAGCACCAATTCCCTGGAGCTGGGACCGTCATGGTTTTACCCAGAGCAGCCCTGCAGTCCCCAGCCCAACCTCTAGAAGCAGGGGCACTGGTGACAGGTGAAGTGGCTGGATGGCAACTGGGGCTGTGTCAGCCCTTGCTCGCTCTCCTGCTGCTGATTACCATGCCCATCAGGGCCCTCAGGCCCTAGACTCTGGGGTAGGCTATTCCCACCCCCCTTCTGGTGGCCCACCAGTAGTTTGGCAGGCTGAATAGGGCAACTTTGTGGACCAGATCTGGCCCGCGGTCGCATGTTTGAAACCCCTACACTAGAGGAAAGGGGTGAGCCCTGGCATCGTGGCCAGGATGCAGTATTGGGGCAATAGAATCACTCTGCCTGCCGGGAATCCCCTCATGGCCTCATTTGGCTGTTCCACTGGAGGAACATGACTGTACGCGTGACCTGCCACCTGCCCCAGACGTAGCTGTTTGTTAGTGGTGAGCATGGCCTTTGAGACACCCACAGGGTGGAAAGGGCTTTGGAATAAGGGCAGAGTCCAGGGGTCCTGATATTCCAGCGGCCTGTTGTCCAGAAGGTGCCCAGAGCCAGACTTGGATTGGGGATTTTCCTGCTGCCCTGGGCTCTTCATATACCATCCTTGTGCCCACGAGCTCCCAGCACAAATATTCAAGAGAACAAAACCACCATGTTCCTTTCCTGCTGTGCCTGTCTGCAGTCCATGGCAGAGCTGGAAACACTATCCAGGGTCCTCCCTGTGCCCACTGGCAGTTGGAGGTAGCACATTCTGGTTCTGCAAAAACTTTTCTCATCACAGCTTCCTGTCTGATTCCCACTGCAACGCTTACAGGGAAACTGAGGCATAGAGGTGTAAGATAAACCTGTGAGATTACAGCCAAGCTGTTGGGGGAAAGCTGTCATCCTGACTGTCCACTGCTCTGATTACTGGAGGGAGCGTTTTCCTAATACTGATGCTAGAACTCAGGCATTCTGACCCCTAATCCCTGCTGCTTTGACCCCTTTGAGTCCCACTCCCCCTCTCGAAGCTGAGGAGAGAACCCAAAAGCCATGGCTCATTATGCCTCTCATAACAATTGCCAGCAGTCCCTTCTCTTCCAGGCCAGTAGGTGGGAGCTGCCAATTGTGTCTGTAGCTGGCCTGCTTTCCTGTGCCTTCAAAACCCAGATCCCATTTTCTCTCTTCAGGAGAAAGGATATTTTAGGTAAATGAGAAGGTGGCAGAAAAGTTTTAGACAAACATCCGTGAGGATTCAGAACAAGTTTGGACATTCCTGTGGGGATGTCCAGAGTACAGACAGCGAGTCAGCCTCGTGGCTCACAGAGGCCATATGGGGGACTGGTCACGTTAGGCCATTCCATAGCCCGTGTGTCAAACATAACTGTTGTGTACTAGATTCTTTGTAACCTGGGATGTCACTGTGGAAGCTTCCTCTTGGGGTGAGATTAGGGCAAAGGAGGTGCTGCTTGATGGCAGCTGACCCCTGCATGCAATCCAACTTTTTGTCTTACTCCCCAGGCTGCCACCGACATGGAGCATGAAGAAGCTCAGGAGGTGTCACTTATTCAGGAAGAGTGCCTGGCTCAGACCTGCTCAGACCTGGAGTCGGCTCACACCCCAGAGCTGGTTCTGCCAGCCCAGCACAAAGAAGGGGAAAGGGACCAGCACCCTGACAATTCAGACCCTGCCACTTCAGAGAATGCAGAGGAGCTCAAAACCCTGAGTAGTGAGGAGGAGGATGATAATGAAGATACAGCCCTGCATCCCCCAAGGAGCATCCTCCCACCCTCTGTGCTGGACCAGGCCAGCATCATTGCTGAGAGATTTGTCAGCAGTTTCTCCCGGCGTAGCAGCCTGGCACTGGATGAGGGCAGGGCATCTACAGGCATCCCCACCCCCCGACTGGCTCTCCGCAGCAGCAGCATGCTGAGTCTTGAGGGCAGTGAGAAGGGGCAACGGTGTGGCAGCAGCAGTGATACCCAGAGCTGCTTCCTGCCTCTGGAGATGGCAACAGAGGGCCAGCAGCTGCACAGTGCTGCCCGCAGCAGGACTGCCTCACCCAGCTTTCAGGAGCCTGAACGAGCCTCTTGCCGCAGGAAAGAATCCATGCTTTCCAAGCAGGACCGGCTCCTGCTGGACAAGATCAAGAGCTACTATGACCAGGCCGAGCACCAGGATGCCAGCTTCAGCATTAAACGCCGTGAGAGCCTGTCCTACATCCCCAAGGGGCTGGTCAAAAACTCTGTCTTCCGCATCGACAGCCTGCCATGGGCAGCAGCCAGCCAGGATACTACTAATGCTGCCCATGGGAGACTGGGCAGCAGCATGGCTGACGGCACCAGCAGCAGGACAGCTGCCTGGGTGCTCTCTGGCCTCCCTGCAGCTCCCCTTGGCCAGCCTGAGGCAGGTGGCCCAGCCCCCATCACTGATGAGGAGTTCAGGCCACCCTCAGAGATGATCAAGGTCTGGGAGGGGATGGATAAGCAGAAAGGCAAGTCTTGGAAGGAGCAGTTGGCAGTGGGTAGGGCTGGCACCGCCACTGGCCCCACCTCAGATGGCACTGAGCAACCCATGAGTAGGAGCCAGGAAAATGGCCTGGCCACACGTGAGCCTCTCCTCATCCTGGAGGACGATGACCTGAGTGCTATCACAGAGGAGTCCACTGTGCCTTCACCTGAAAGCAAGTCTCCCACAGAGAGGGCAATGCCCCCCAGGCTGGTTTGCCACCTGAAGAGGCTGGCACAGGAGCTGGGCACCAGTGATCTGGGCCAGCCCCCCCTGCTGCACCCGCGCATCCTGCAGCTCTCACCTGCTGGGGAGGTTGAGCTGTGCGAACGTACCAAGACTCGGGTGTACCAGCTGGCACGCCAGTACAGCTTGCGGATCAAGAGGCACAAGCCAGTCCTGCAGAGACATCTCACTGAGCTGGAAGAGGACACAAGGAGCAGTGTGCCCATCCTGCTGCACCACACACAACCAGAGGCAGAGGAAGAGGAAACAGGTTCCCAGGGTACTGAGGGGGGGCAGTCATGAGTTGATGAATGGGGGGAGACCCTTGGGCAATGGATTGGTCTGGGCTGGTGAACTGAGGGCTTCTGGGGTGTTTGGCTGGGGGACACGTGGAGCAGAGGATGCTGCCTGGGGCATTGGGCTGATCCTGGGGCACTGAGAGGGGAACTCCCTGGAGTACTTATGAGGGAGGGATTTCATGGGGCAGTGAAGCTGGGGCTTCTCTGGGTAATGTGCTGGGTGGGGAGGGCTTGTATGTGCCAGAACAGCCAAGAATCTTGCCTGGGGGTGATGCAGTGTCAGGGAGGGGACCTGTAACGTTACAGTTGAAAGAGCTAGCTGCCCCAGAGCTTCATTTACTGGAAAAGAAAAATGTTTGGTTGACTGGAAATTGGCTCAGGTCCAGTTCTGTGGCCAGAGTTCTGCACCCTGTGGCTGACACATGTTCATGCACATGTATATGTCTGTGCACTCATACCCATGGGCACAGTGTGAGCCCTTTCAAGGTGAGTCTCCCCATGAGGGAGGTCAGGCCATGACTCACCCCTTCAGTGCTGTGTTGTCTCTCTCCTCAGGCAAGCAGAAGCCAGCGCTATCCCTCACCTATGAGCAGGAGGTGATCCCGGAGCAGAGCCCACTGACCCCACGTTCCACTTCGTCCTCACCCCGGCGTCCCTCTTCCACCAGTTCCTATCCAGTCTCCCCAACCAGTTTGGCCTCCCACAGTCCACTTAGCCCCATTCTGGCTGAGAAGTTCAGCTGGCCTGATGTCCGAGAGCTGCGCTCCAAGTACTCCCTTGGAAAGTCCAGTGAGGCAGGCTTTGGCCCATGTAGGCCTCCCCCAGTGAACAGGAGCCGCTCAGCACCAGAGAAGATGGCAGAGGGGCCGACAGGAGCCCTCTCAGGGAAGGCAGGCCGGAGCGGGCGGGCAACGGAGAAATCGTGGCTGGCAGCTGAGCGGAGCCGGAGTGCTGAGCAGGGCCTGGAGCCCAGCACTGGGAGCCGGCAGCACCAGCGGCAACACAGTGATGGGGTACTGTATGTTGCTGCAGAGACCTGCCTGGACAACCAGCAACGTGTGATTGTGCTGGAGAAGGTGCCACCTGATGCTGAAAGCTATGTGCAGATCCGTTCACCCACCACCCGAGAGAAGCTTTCCCTCAAGGCTGTGGCGGAGCGCTGCAAGGTCTACCAGGATTTGGATGGCTGCCCCCAGCAAGAGTGGGAGGATGAAGAGGGCCAGCCCCAGAGGCCCATGGTCTGGGACAAGCCAGATGTTGGTCACCAGGGCCTGGTGAGGAACCTGCGGGAAAAATTCCAGACCCTGAACTCCACTTGCTGAGTGGGAGCTTGAGACAGAACCTGGATGGGGCCTATGTCTGAGCTGGGGGAGACTAGCACCTCTTGTATATAAGAACATCTTCCTCTTTTCCCCACTCCCTCCAGCCAGTACTGGCTTTGCCTGTGTCACTGCAAGCAGAGCCCACACTGGCCTGTGGCTTTGTGGGCTCTGGTAGATATTACATTTAAGGGCAGATCCTGGGGTAAGGCTGCATGGAGGGCCATGACTGTGGCTCAGGTCGACACAGCATTGTTTTGCACACTGGCACATCCAAAGCAGCATGGAGCAAGGCCAGCCCTCTGTGCCTACTGGGAGTACAGCATTTGGCAACAGTAGCCTGACTGCCACCCAGCCTGCAGGAGGCCTGTATATACTAGAAGGCAGGTGTGCACAAACTTCTGTGCAATAACAGTTGCTGTCGGAGAATATGCCTCCCGCCTCTTCCTTGGGAGGGGAAATTTCTGGGGTTTTGTGCTGGAGGAATGGGAAGGGAGCAGTGTTGTCTAATACATAGAGCACTAGAGACAAACAGAACATCTACTCCTCATTCTGCCACTGACCTGCTGAGTGACCTTGGACAAAGTCCCTGCCTCTTTTGCCCACCTCCTCTCTCATCTGTTTCAGGCAGGCCCTGCCTCTTACACATGTACAACACTTGGTGCTGACGTAGCAGTGCTGGAGCTCCACTCAGCTGAGACCCCACTGCTCACAGGCTTGTTGGAGCTAGCAAAGGCAGTGACTGCTAGGCCTGCATAGGTCACGGCTTTCAGTGGGACAAGCTTAGTGCCAGGTGTAGGTGCTGCTGTGCCATTGCAGCTCATATGTGTACTGGGGACAACAAGAGCTTAGTGAAGCTTTTACTGCACCACACAGCAGGAGGAAGCCAGGCTGGACTCATCCAGGCATCAGCTGCTTGAGCCTTTGGGTCTATGGCCCAGCATCATCCAAAGGGAGTTGAACCCAGGGTGCCAGAATAGAGCCCTGCTACACTAGTATGGGTCATGTGGGGAGAGCTGCCCTGCGCAGGCTCTCTCTTACCCCACTACATGAATTTGGTTGGGGGGAAAGGGAGGCAGATTCTCCTTACTTGTGCCAGTGTGAGTAAGCGAGCGCTGGAGCTTGTGGTTTGTGCCTCTTTCAGACCCCTGGGGAGGAGAGAATAGTAAGGTATTACATATATATAAATTTGTATCCAAGGCCAAATTAGCCAAAACTAATTCCAAATTCAAGAGTCCAGCACCATAAGTGGCCCTACTACTGGCAAACATCCTCCACCCCACCTGGGGCTTCAGATGTTTCCAAAAACTTTGGCAGGCATCCTACTTGCAGGCCCAAGCCCGGAGGCTTGGGGTTCGGATGCCCCCGAGTTTTGCCTGCCCTTAGCCATAAGGCCCTTGGGGCAAGCAAGGAAGAAGACTCTCATTTCCATAAACTGCTGCACCTTGGCAGATACTGAACCACACCAGAAGAGCAGTTCTCCTGTGAGGCAGTTCAGGAAAACTGCCTTCTTGGACACAGATACATGGTATTAATGTACACCATGAACAGTCAAGGTTACTGCATGTGACTGTAGGCCTCTGCCTGTCTGCCCTGACCATGGAGCATACTGGCCAGGCACTAGGCTTTGCTTTTGCAGGGACAGCCTGGTCCTTGCTGGCTGGGCCTGAAGGTAAGGGCATCTGCTTTGGAGTTCCAACACCCACATCAGCCCCAAACTAAGGCTTTTCTGGCTTGAGTGAGGCACTGTGGAAAAGGTGGGTAAATCCCAGCTGCTTGAGCCAGAGCAGGCAGAGGGGGGGACTGAAAGGAGCAGGAGCCTCTGCCCACTTGGGGCAGTTTTGGGTCCAAGAATGAGTTTGGTCAGAATTGTTCCCTTACTGGGGACACCAGGACTCCTGTGCCACTTCACCTGAGCCAGCCCCCATGGCAGTGGAGTGGTGCAGCAGGGGGGTAGGGTGGGTACCATGGCAAGACCCTGGCAAGGAATGTGGGTAGTGGAATGGGGACCATTTTTTTTTATAGATCATGGGCCAGACCACGTGGCCTCAGGCTTCAAAGAGTTAATACATGGCTGGACAGGGAGAAAATAGCAATGAAGAGCCTAGGGCAGGGGTGGGCAACACTCTGCTAGGCTGGGTCAGTGCTCACCACACCCTCTCCCCACCTCTGGTAAGGTGGGTAGCCATACCAGGGTACTCTACGTGCCTGAGTACTGGCCTATCCTATGACTCCCAGGTCTTTGGCAAGCCACTGAGTCTCTCCTATCTAGCTTAAACATAAAGACTTTTAGGGCAGAGCTGTCCCCTTCCTCAGGACTGGGGAAAGCCCCGATAACCTACTAAGGTCCTCAGTGCCCCAAGCCATGCCCGCTCCCTCTGTGTCATGGTTGGGGAGTGGGGAGCTGTGTGACACAGCAGGGCTGGGCCTGGGCAGGAGGTGATGTACTCTGGCAAAGTTCCCTAGTAGCACCAGCTTGAGCACTGAGGCTGGGGTTAGGTGCAGGGTCCAGCAGCTTGGCAGACAGAACAAGGGTGGGAGCCCAGGTTGGTAGTGGACACAGGATAGGAGTAGTCTCAGCTGCAAGTGAAGAACTTGGGGCCATGCTGCCTGTATGGGGCTTGACTCAGCTCTTCTGGTGTTTTTCAGGAGACAGGGCCTGTACTTGCCACCTGTCCCCTCAGTAATAGGGCTGGGTGGTACCTCCACTGTGCAGAGTGGTCTAGATTTGCCTGCCCTGGAAGGGTTTTATGGGGCATTCATTGCCCGTTTCATCTCTGGGCCTGGAATTAGTTTGAAAGTAGGTGACCAGAAGGGATATTACCAGCAGCAACCACCCTGGGTTGGGCACATCCGAAGCTGGTCATGTCCCCTGAGCTCTTCTGTGCCTGGCGCCAGTGCCAATAATTGGCTGAGAGAGGAAGGGGCTATTCATGCCAGCCTGTTTCACTGGAGGCACAATGCATCACAGTCTGTGTCTATCCATCACCTCCTTGTCCTCCTGTGGGCACAGTCTTGCCTATCACCTGCCTCATGTCCCCTGCCCCTGTGCCAGTTTATCAGCTGTTCCTCTGAATCCTTCCTGGGTGGGAGGTGGGGGAGAGAGAGAGACAATGAGCATGAACATTTTGGGCTCTAAGATGCCCTTGTGCACATCCCCTGGCCTGACTCCCCATCCCAAACACTTGCCCCTTCCTACCTCAGTGCAGGAGACTGTGGGGCAGAGAGGGCCCTTTCCTTCCAAGGTGAGCCACCTGCTTCCCCTTCCTGTAACTAAGCCCCACTAGTGCTGGTGCCTCACCTGTCAGTTTTGGCAGCTCAGCTGGACCCAAAGGATGAGCTGTCCCTCTCACTAGCAAAAGAGAGCTGCCGTGGCTCGCACCGGGAGCAGCCCTCTAACCCCACCCTAAGAAGTAAGTTGGAACTGAATGACCTTTACTCCATGCTGCAGCATGGCTTTCATGACCTCTCCCATGAAGCATGGTGCTCAAACGTACACAGCCCTCACTGGACACTGCCCCATCCTGCTGCTCCAAATGCCAGACTGCTGGGGTAGAGGTAGCTGAGTCCAAGAGAATGAGCTCTGTGGTGGGGGGAGAGCTCTTCCCAACACCAGCTGTTCCCTGGGAGCATGGGGGCAGGCAGATGGCTGGCAGCCCTGCACATTCAGGGTGGTCTCTCACTGCTAACCCCCATCCTAAGGGGTTACTGCTAAATGGGCAGGGTGAAAAGTGCCTTAGCAGGACTCCGGCAGTTCAGATGTCCTAGCTGCCAAGGACCTACTGGGTGTAGAGGATGCACTGGCTTCTGGGGATGCTGGCCCTGAACCCCACCTGCACTTAACCACATGTGTCTTCAGGGGGGTGAGTGGCCTATTGAAGCTTGGGGGACAAACCCAGAGAACAAAAACTTAGCCCTGCCTACCTCCTATCTGTATAATACCTGCCACTTACCCCCAGCATCTGTCCGTACAGTCATACCCCACCCCAAACTAACACATACAGCTTTCCATGTCACTGCACAGATACTACAAAGCCCCCAAAAGCTCTAGTGAAGAGCACTAGTTAGCACTCCAGAAGGCCACCCAGACCCTAAAGAAAACACATGACCCTCTAGAGTAGTGGTTCTCAACCCGCAAGCCGCATATGAACCAGTCAGCACACTGCTGCAGCCCACGTGACATCCTGTTAAATAGACAAGGGTCTTCAGGTAAATCCGGTATCTTTTATTAGACCAACTCAAATAGTTGGAAAAGTTCTTCCTTGCAAGCTTTTGGGTACAAATACCCTTCATCAGGCTGAGGAAGCATCTGCAGTTGGTCTGTGCTCTTCCTGGATGGAATAGTAAAGAAGACAGAAGCCAATAGGCATGCGAGAAAGCCAGTCAGTGAAAATGTAAATTGAGGTAGTTAATGGGTAAGAGACAGGTTGGGGGAAGAGGAATATACCCAAAAGCTTGTAAAAAAAAAATCTTTCCAACTATTTGAGTTGGTTTAATAAAAGATATCAGATTTACCCAAAGAACCTTGCCTTAGGCCAGCATGACAGCAACCTATACCCTTATAAACAGATACACAGTAAGTAAGATGTGTGAGTGCAGCCCACATAACACATTGAAAACTAAAAGTGTGGCAAGTGAAAACCACTGCTCTAGATCCAATCACTTGCCCACATGCCTGTCCCCTCCTTTTGCCTGGGACACAGTGAGGGCAGAAGCCTGGGACCTTGTGCAAGTGTGGAAGGAGTAGTCCAGCTCCCACCCACCCCCTCCAGGGGCAGATCTGGGGAGGGGTGTGGGGAGCCCTGGTATACTTGTACCCCACTTTGATTCCTGGTCCACCTAAAGTTTAAAACCAACTGCTTGGCAGTGGCTACATAATTTCTAGTCAGGCATAGCTAAGCAAGTCACTTGACTTCATGGCTCATAATCTACCAGATCCTTTCTAAACTCTTCATTCCACAGGTGTTAATGATCCTCTCCTTTCAAACAGTCTTGATGTTCCACCAATCAAGCTATCCTTTGTTCTGCAATTCTGTTGTCCTGTCTGTTAGCTGCTCCTGGCAATGAAGCTCCAATTTCACAGTCCTGCAGATTGTTTTGCACACATCCCAAAGAAGTTATATTTATTTGTGCTTCAATCTGAACCTGAATCGCATAGCCTTAAGCCCCTAGCATATTATCAATGCTTCTAGTTTATTTTTATCTGGATAAAAAGATGCATCCTTTTGTATGTGATGATGCATCACACCACCTGTACCCCACTTTTCAAAATTCTAGATCTGCCCATGCCCTGCCCCCTCCCTCTGAGGATGCAGCCTGTGGGTCTGGGACCTCCATGGTCATGATGAAACTCCACAGATACGGGCACAGTCTGCAGTCTCCATCACCCCTGGTAGTGATTACCTGGGCTGTTCCAGATCCACACTGTGGGACTTGGCAAAGCAGGTGCCACCCTACATCCCTGTAGCTCTGTCCAGGACCTAGTAAGAACACACTGCATGTTCTTATTTTTGCTTGCCAAGTGTGCTGCCCCCCTGCCCACAAAGCTGGGTGTATGGGCACGCCCAGCAAGCATGGCCATGCACTGCTAGCCCAGTGCACTGAGGGCAAGTCCTGCTGCTGTTCTAGCAGCAGGCAGTGCCCTTGTCCCATTGCACTATATAGTACACTCCCTGCAGGCACCCTGCACACCCCAAACTCACAGTGCCTACCGGATTAGTCATTGGCAGGCACAAAGGATGAGGGGATGTTCTGCCTTGTCCAGAGGAGCATAAGCCAGTAGAGGTAAATGCTGAGGCATAGAGCAGAAAGTGTCTTGAAGGACATGGGACACGTGCAAGAGAGGAGCCAAGACTTGCAGCACCTCCCACTATTCATGGGGCCTCCTGTTGGGGGTTCATGTGCCATTGGGATGGAACCCAGTCATGGGAGGAGTGCTCTGAGCTGGGGCATTTGATGACTCCCCAAGCAAATGAGATAGTCAGTCAGAGCACCGCAGTGTGTCCTGCCCTGGGGCTGCAGGCAGGTACCTCGTGTGTTGTGGGACCCAGCACCCAGACCCCTTGCCTTGTTTGTCCTGTGAAATACTGGAGTAGAACTCCCTGCTCTTGAAACACAGCTGGAAGGGAAACTCTTGTCTCTCACGGACCGGTGATTGAAGCACTTGCCAGGAATTGGGTCACCTGAGGCCTGGCTCAGCCTGCGGGGATTCCCAGCTGTCTCACCAACAGAAATGTCCCAGTGCATTCATGGAGCCAAAGGGGAACGGGCCA